CAAAAGCCAGCCCAGGAGTGGGGCTGCTGCGTGGCCTGCTGGGTGAGGTAGGACGGGCTGGAGCTGGAGTGATGGCCCAAGGGCAGCCAACCAAATAGCACTCAGGCTGGGACAGTCAGCATAGTGGGCCTGGCCCGGAATCCTCCAGCCCGGGTCTGGTGACCTATCACCCAGCGCCCATTATATGGGAGATGCAGAAAAGGAATTTTGTCCTGATCTCTTTAGGAAGACAGATTTCATTCAGGGGCAAACCATGGCCGGGGGTCCAAATCTGGCCTACCATTGTTCTGTGAAGTTTTCCTGGCACACGGCCGAGCTGCTGGTTTGCATATTTATCTGTGGCTGCTGTGGGCCTTCAAGGGCAGAGTTGAGTTGTTGCAACAGAGACCTGTGGCTTGTAAAGCCTAACGTGTTTACTGTCTGGCTCTTCACAGAGCAAGTTTGCAGACCCTGGCCTGAGCTGGGAGCGGACCAGGGTTCAGGATGTGCGCTTAGGGCTTCCCAAGAGGGAGACACGAGGCGGGCCAGGACTTCCAAGGAGGGGGTGGGGATTTCTGGAAACAAGTGGGCAGGTGGCACAGGGCAAAGCCAAGACCCTGAGGTGGGTGAGCTTCGCCTTAGGAGACAGTGATCCGCCCTGAACGCAGTCCTGTGGCGGCCTCGTGGGGGCTTGTGCGAAAGCTTCCTGGTGGCGCAGATGACCAGGGAGGCCAACCGTGAGGGGTCTCCTGGCAGCAGCAGGCCGTCGAAATGGCGAAGTGGCTGGGAGGGATCTGGAGCCCCACGAGAGCAATCCCTGCTCCCCAGCTCGGCCACCTGGAGCCCACGAGATGCTGTGGGCCCGGAGCTGCCAGATCGTCTGATTTTCCAAGGGAAGCTGGCAGTCTGGTGTTCATGAGAAATCTCCTGATTTTTTGCATGTTTGCAATTAATTCCATTTTTTAGACATTATGAAGCAGACGGAGCACATCCGTCTGGTGTGTGGGCTACAGGTTTGAGAACTCGGGTGTCCAGGGTGGGAGTGAGGATGCGCGGATGTGGGTAGACAGGGAAGAGCAGACCAGGCCCAGCGCAGTAAGCCGGCAGGCGAGCTCTGGACTGGGGGCAGAGGGGGAGAGGGGACAGTGAAGGGAGACTCTGAGACAGGGGGCGTGGCAGAGTCCAGCACCTGCAGGGTCAGATTGCCGCGTCTTCCAACCAGTCCCACCCAGGCTGGTGGAACATTCCTGCCTGCAGGCTGGGGGCTGGGAGCCTGCAGTTGGACACTCCTCCTTGCTTACCTGGCAGGCCGCCCCACCCCCCACCCCCAGGGGAATCTGTAGAAGGAGGGATGGGAGGTAGAGATCTCTGAAGTCCCCTCAGAGATTCCCAAGGGTTTGGGTTTGCTGTTCTGTCCCCAAAGACTTGGGCCTGTCTGGGGATGGGCAAAGGCTGGGCTTCGAGCTGGACAGGCCTGGTGGACTCCAGCGTCCTGGTCGCCTGGCTTCTGCCCCTTCAAAGACACAAGGAAGACCCCAGTTTTGTAGGTTGCCTGGAGAATCCAGGGGAAAACGGGTGTGGGGGACTGGGTTTCCATGGTGTCCTGACGTGCCTGTGACTGGGGCCTGGCCTCCAGGATGTGCTCTGTTCTTCCCAGCAACAGTTGGGGCATCTGGCTGTTCTTCAGCCTCGCACACCAGCCCTTACCTGCTGATTCACGGCTCTGGTTTGCAAGTACTCAGTGGCTGCACTCTGGGCTTATTGTTTTAGGACACCTGGTCGCAAGTGACAGCAACCCAGGTCAACTTGGCTGAAGCAAACGAGAGAAGTCCAGGGCTCATGGACAGGAGCCGGCCCAGGGTAACTCCCGACCTCAGGCAGTAATGGTTTCGGCCACTCAAATGATATCCTCAGGACTTTGTCTCACTCCGTCTCCCAGCTTTGCGTCCCTGTGTCGGCTTCAATCCCAGGCAGGGCCTGCACTGTGGTGGCAGAGGTGGTCATGGCCCATCCTCCCCCATGCCCCCGGGTCACAGCTCTGGTGGGTCAGGCCTCCCACCCCCCGCAGCCCCCACCTGAGCCACAGGGGGTGGGGAGGGCGGCCAGGTCCGGCACAGGCACAAGTGATCTTTCAAGATCAGGATGACGATACCAGAGGGCAGTGGTGGCTAGACAGGCCCGTGTCCACCTCACACCTGCCCACTCTCTAAGAGCAGCATGTGTACCCTTGAGGCCATATTTGGAGCCCCCTGGCTCATCATAGGTCACCCCTTCCTGGCTGACTTCAGGCTCAGTTCTCCAACCAGCTGTGAGTCACCATCCCACATTTCCCCCCCCCCGTGCTCTAAGATGTTGGCGGGGGTTTGGTCCAGGGCCACTAGGAGGCTCTTAGGATGACTTCTTGGTTCTAATTATATTGATTTTCTCCCTTTTTTTGGAAGTCTCTCTCCTTGAAGGAGGAACCAGAAGCCCCGTCCCTGGGAGGGGTGTCTTACCCATTCAGAGGCACCGCCTTTTGAATGGTGGAACTATTTCAAAAAGAAAAGGGGGTCCAGATGACACCACTCTGGCCCTTCATGGGCCCTTCCCTTGTCTGGGACCTGAGGGTCAGAAGGGACCTGTCATTTCAGAATCACAAAATGTTCTTTGACCCCCATGTGTCAGGACCAGGGAACTGGTCTTCAGGCTGTCATTATTTGCTTGAAAGTTACATTTTCTAGATTACTACAATGACCAAGTTTCAGGAGAAATGGGGTGAAGAGATCCTAAGCCTACGGGCTACCCACAGATTGCATCCCTTAGGCTATGGGATGTGTCTTGTGGCTCATTTTTCAGTTGTGCTCTGGTCATGGAGCTACTGGAGGCCTTGCATCCCATCCATGGTGGCAGAGAGCAGCCCAGGAAGGTGCTAGAAGAAGGGGGCAGGTGGTAGGCCTGGGCCCCAAGTACCCCCAGGTAGGCTGAGCCAAGAATGGGCTGACCCAGGGTTGACAGATGGAATGGTCTGTCGCCCTTTCATGAGGCTGGCCCTTCTCCAGGATGAATGGCTCATCCTGGTTTTCCAGCTGTGGGATGGTGACACAGGGAGGTACGTAGTCCTCAGACACCTGAGCACATTCTGTCTTACTTGAAATACTTTGATGGTTTCCTTCTGTGGGGCAAAGTTCAGGGCTTTGGGGCCCAGACATGAGAATCTGTGCACTCCCACCCTAAACCTGGCTGCTTCCCTTTAGGGGATCCTGGCCACAGCCTCCTCCCTGCTCCCCTCTTTCCCCTCAATTCTGCTCTTTCTAAAACACCTAATGCCACACACACACTCCCGATTAGTGACTTCAGTGGCTCTCTGGTCCGTTGGGATGAAGCTCTTAAGCACGGCCTCTGAGAGCCCATGTGATCTGGCCCTGGTTTTTAGCCTCATCTCTGTCCACACAGTGACCTGGCCCCAGTCCAGACTGAGCCGCTGGAGTCCCCAAGTGCCCCTCCCTCCCCCGCCACAGCACTGTGACATGCCATTCCCTCAGTCTGGAAGCCCGCCCTGCCTGCTCTAGCTCTGGGAAACCTCCCCCTGACCCGCCCCCCCAGGGGGAGTTGGGCCTCCTCCAGTTCCCACAGGTCCTTGCACCTCCCCACCATTGGCCCTCACATAGCAGTTCTATTGGTTCCTTTGTCTCTCCCGCCAGCGAGCCCGGGTTGTCTGGGGCTGCCGTCCTGTGCGCAGATGGCGCTGGCTCTCGGGACCTGGTGGTGGAGTGGGCGGAGGCTTGGAGGACGTGGGGCGTGGGTCAGGCACCCCCGCTGAGCCTTGGTTTCTCCACCTCCACCATGGGGATGGTGGTCAGGGCGTCGCTGGGGGAAACAAGTATTTGGGGAGGCCAAGTATGCACGCAGCGTGGTGCGGGGCACACAGAGGTGCTGGGCTTTGGGGGAGCCGTTGCTGGCCACGGGCCAGAGCCCCCACCCCCCCCCCGCCCTGGCATCTGCACCTGCACCTGCAGGCCCCTCAGAGTGGGTCTCAGCCGGAGGGGGCCAGGAGGTGGGACAGTCAAGGGAGAGGAGTCAAGGGAGTGGGGGGGGAAAGAGGAGGGTGGCGAGAGGGACGCCGAGTGGAGACCTGCAGAAGGACCTCGTCCCTCTGCACCCCTGAGCCCCACATACCTGCCCATCTCCCGGCAGGGCCTAGTGTCCTTCCTCCCAGAGGGCCATAGTCATTGGGATCAGCCGTGGCTCTGCAGGAGAACCATGTGAGGATTTCGAAATACCCCGGTCCCGGGCCACACCCCTGATCAGTGTCCTCAGACGCACGGTGGGGCTCCGAGGCGTTTCCTAGCTCTCCCGGGGCCGGGGGGGGGGGGGGGGGGTGGAGACGGGCACCGTGCAGCCACGTTTGAGAAGCCCTGCTTGCCATGGTCCTCTGTGAAACTGGTTTCTCCCCAGAAGGGGTCTCAGCAACCGGAGCTTGGGGAGGGATGCTTGATGGCAAATCTCTTCTTCCCAGCCTTCTCAACAAAGATCCGCACCAGGTAGAAGCGAGCACTTCTTAAAATGGTGTTTGATTTTTTTTGAAAAAGTAACACATTCAGATGGCACCGACTCGATGCGGCACAGATGGGGACCCGGTGAAAGAGCGCTCAGCCGGCCCCCCAGTTGCCCGGCAGCAGGCCCTGTGCCCCGGCTCCGGGGCGCCCCGCGGAGCTCACGCGCGCGCACGCACACACGCACGCACACGCGGGCGTGAGGGACACCCTGCCTTCTCGGTCCCTCTCTATTAGACCTGTGCGTCCCCACGCCGACAGCGTTCCGCCCTGGACGGGGACCGGCGCTGGTGGCCCAACGCCCTCGCGTGGGGGGGAGAGGGGGGTGGCCTTGGCCCTGCCGGGCAGTGCCACCAGAGGACCGTGGCCTCATTGTCACAGGGGCACCTCTTCCCGCGGGCTGAAGTCATTCCTACGACTGGAAATCCTGGGTCACAGAGCGAGGGAATTCCAGAGGCTCACGGGGCACCTCGCTTTCTGTCGTTGCAGAACCCGCCGGCGCCCCTGCCCTTCGAGCTGCCCGCGCTGTACCGGACGGAGGACTACTTCCCCGCGGCCGCCGGCCAGGCCGCTCTGCGCACCCCCGGCCCCCGGCGCCGGCGCGTGTGAGCCTCCGCAGCCGCGGGGTCGGCCTGTCCTGCTGCTGTCCCTTTCCGCTTTGAATCCCCTCCCTCGCTGCACGGGAAGCCACGCGGTTCGGAGACGCGTGTGGGGCCCACGCGGGGCGGGGCCCGAGCGCCCACCTGGACCAGGAGCTTCCCGCCGGGGCTGGGCCTGCCCGGGGTTCTGGGCCGCGGGCGGGCGGGTCTGAGCAGCCTCCGTGGTTCCAGGCCCCGGGACTCGGAGCCCCCCCACCCCCAGCCCACCCCCCACCCCCCCGTCTCTCTGTGAAGGGCTCTGCGTGGGAATCATGTGGGGCCCGCTCGGTGCCCCCAGGCGCACGGCTCCCGGTTCACCTGCGGTGGTTGACTTGTATGCGAACCCCAGTGCCCGCCGGCCTGTGAATCATCTCAATAAAGATGTCAAGAGGTCACGTGTGGTCTGGGTGCAAATGCGTTCTCGGAGGGAGCTCCTGCCACCGAGGCAAGCCTGACCCTCCGAATCTGCTCATCGGGAAGCCCCTCACCGGGACTTTAGATTCCCAGCAAGAATGGAGAGATCATTAGGATTTCCAGGGTCCTTCAAAGGTGGGTTGGCCTTCATTTCATTCCATGCCAATGAGTTTCCTGCTCTTGTCCTGGAATTCCAGATTTCTCAACTTGGTGATGAATAATTCTGGGTTTTGTGAGTTTTTTTTGTGTTTTTTTTTGTGTTTTTTTTTTTTTGGAGTTCCTCACAGAGCCAAGAAAAACACACACACACGCACACGCACAACTGAACTGCAGACCTGCGCTGGAATTCCAAGGAAATCTAACATAATGAATCGAGAGAGAGCAGTAGAAAAACAAGGAATAAAGCTGGATCTTGACAACTTTAGGACACACTTTTAGAATTAAAGATACAGGCCAGAGGCTCCTGGGTCGCTCACTTGGTTGAGCATCCAACTCTGGGTTTCCGTTCAGGTCGTGATCTCATGGGTCATGGGATTGAGCCTGCTTGGAATTCTCTCTCTCCCTCCGCCCCTCCCTCTGCTCTCACATTCTCTCTCTTTCTCTAAAATCAATAAGTAAATCTTAAAAAAAAAGATATAGGTGGACGCCTTGTTTCAAGAGAAGCCAGCATTTTCCTGTGGAGATTATTTTTTTAGTAAAAAACTTGTACTAGACTTGTATTTTATTTTTTTGATCTTTTTAAAAAGATTACTTTTTTTTTTAAGAGTTTATTTATTTGAGAGAGAGAGAATGAGAGATAGCACGAGAGGGAAGAGGGTCAGAGGG